TTTTCATGTCTGGCATTCATCGGGCCGAAACCTTGCTCGCAATTGGCGCTTGACGCTTGGAAGGTTGCGCAAATGTCCAGCAGACGCGACAGCAGTTCAAACTGTGGCTCTCTTAGGTGCTCAGGCATGAAACTGTGCAGCTCACACACTATACTTTTCCGCTCACACTGAAAAAAAATTAGAGGGAACATTGACGGTAACTATCTGATTTTCTTTACAGGTGCTGTCACCTGTAAGGAAAATATTTTGTTGGGCTGGGAGATGCTCAAGTCAAGAGTCAGCAACAGATTCAACTGAAGTTCTAGTAGCTAAAAAGTGTTATATTCTCCCTCCCCCCACATTGTCAACATGCAGTTTTTGTTATAAGTTTTAAACAGAGAAAGTTTTCTTTCAAAAAAAGAAAATATGAATTGGCTACATCCACTATCCTCCAAGCATGATTCCTCATCACCAACTCAGGTACAGATCCTCCATGCCAGTTGATACTGCACTGCTTTCATATTTATTTTATTGTCTCCTACAACCAATAAGTCCCGTCCCCCCCCCCCCCGCAATAATATATCCACATAGGTTAAGCTTACTTTCAATAGGAAGGCAAATTCAATTTGTTGTAAGTTTGTAGCAATAAGAATTCTGCAAACAGGCCTGATTTTAATAACAGGCTCAGTTTCACAGCATCTGGTTCCTGATACCCATTTCTTTACTTCGGTCTTCTCCAAACTGATATCCCTCAAAATGTCTTGGACAAATAACTAATCAATATGGCCAACAAACCAGTGCTGGCTGGGAATAGTAGACATTATAGTCCAGCAAATCTAGAAGGCACAAATTGGAAAGCACTGGTTTATGCAATGAATCTTTCTTTCCTAGTTTATTTGCTGGTCCACTCTACTAGCTTCCCTTCTCTCATTCCTGCCTTATTTTCCTCCATGGCAAGGAACGATTAAAATTTGAGAGCTGCAGTCATGAGGGAACCCACATTGGGATGGAAATAGTACCTAAGGATGAAACATACAATAACAACATGTAAAGACCACTCTGCCTCGGATTTCTCCACTGCCCCATACAAGTGAGTCCTTGACTTATACCATTCATATTTATGACGGTTGCAGTGTCCCAGGATCATGTAATCTCACCTTTTGTGACCTTCTGACAAGCAAAATCAATGGGGAAGCTAGATTCGCTGTTACTAATTTAACTTCACATCTGTGGAAAGAAAGGTTGTAAAATGGGGCAAAATTCAATTAACAAATTCTCACTTGGCAAAATAAGATTTGGGGTTATTATGGTCGCAACTTGAGGAACTACTTATAGATACATTCATTTGCACAGAGTACACACGAGGTCTCTCTGGAATAAGAGGCCACTAATACTTACTGTCCAGTCGGGTTGAGATACCATCAATATTGCAGACTTTTGTGTAGGAGTCCTCAATTGTGGGGTCGTAGTCAGAAACAAAGTAAGACTGAAACAAAGCAGAGGAAGAAAGAGGGAAGTGTTTCAAGGATGACAGCAATAACTGGAAATCCATTTCCAAATTTTGCTCATGAAAAATCTGACATCTCTGGCACAAGCTTTTACTCAACCCTCTGCTATCAACTCCGTGCATGCTGCTGAGGAATTCATCTAAAAGTTGTCATTATTGAAAAACATTGCTCTAGATGGAGGGCCAGTCTGGTGTAATGGTTAGTGTGCTGGCCTGGAAATCAGGAGCCTGTGAGTTCTAGGCCTCCTTTAAGCATGAAAGCCAGCTGGGTGACTTTGGGATAGTTTCAGTCCAACCCACCTCACAGGGTTGTTGTTGTGGGGAAAATAGGAGGCAGAAGTATTAGCTATATCTTTACCGCTTTGAGATGACCAAATATGAAGGTAGGATAAAAGTATCACCATAATGATAGTGATTTCAGAGAACTATCATTGACTACCATGTGGCAGACAAATATAATATCCTCTTTGAGTTAAAAGGGCAGTTTCCTTTACTTAGAAGCATTATAAAAGCAGTTTGCCCTTGCCTCCTTCTGGAGTGTTCTATTTCTCAGTCCAGTTTATAATCCTGGGGTTTCCTTGTAGACTCTCCCCCAAAGTCTAACCAGATGGGATCCCAACTAGCTATTCAAGTTCACCTAAGTTTTTATTAACTCTTAAATCCATAAGTAGGGTAACTAAAATGTCAGAAAACTATAATGAAAAGAAAATGCTGCCTTTGACCATCATATGTACCTCCAAATAAATCTAATTTGCTTCCCCCCAATGCTGAATGCAAGCATCAGAGAGCTGATTCAGACTCCTTTACTCCTTTTGCTTTTCGTTACTGTAATCTTTCTAAATGTAGCTGCCTTTTGAAGGTGAGAGGAATGAGCAAAATGGAGATGATCTACTGCAACATTCCCAATCTGGTTGAGAAATTGCATCACTCTCACAATACCTCAAAATGATGGAATTGTAGCTGCAGGCAACTGAAAGGCACCAGACTAGAAGCATTCAGTTTTTTAAAACTATATGCTGAAGTATTTATTCCTAAATAGGCATAGTTGGCAGCCAACGTTGTTTAAGTAAGGCCATAAATTTATGAGCATTTAAGTTGGAAAAGTTCCAGTCCTTTCAGCAGACCTTATAATACACATTTACAGCAATGGGTAAAGTCCTAGGATAACTTTCATTTTTCCACGCGGCAGGAAAACGTACCAACAAAGTTTGTTTAGCCCTTCCTGAGCCCATCCCGCCCTATTCTACCCTTGGGCGCTTTTTCCGAGTTACCTGGATGAATTGGATAGTTAGGGCGCTCTTGCCCACGCCGCCTCCACCGACCACTACCAGCTTGTATTTCTCCAGTGGCGCCGCACCTTCGCTGGGATTCATCCTGCTTGGCAAAAGTTGTTCGCTTCTTTATAGGGAGGGAATCGGACCAAAACACTCAAAAGTCTGCCCGTCCAGTCGCAGCAGGCATCATCCGAATCCCCAAAAATATGGCAGAGAGATCCAGGGTGGGCCCTCTAAGGAGCGAAGCTCGGCGATTGCTGGCAGTCCGCTTCCCTATTTGGCCAGCGGGAGCCGCTACGGGGAGGTCTCACGTCCGGAACAAGATCGTCCGGGCCAGTGAGCCTTCCCCGCCCTGAGGTGGACCAGTCAGGGGCGGCAGGGCGGGTGGGGGGTTGAGCTCAGCGCGCACCCCGCACGCTGCCTAAGATGCTGCTGTGTCTCTGTGATGAGCGCGAAGCTGCAATCGTTTAGTAGTGGAAAGTATGGCTAGGTTGGAGAGGTTTATGCCTGAGATGATGAAATTAGAATGGAAGTAGTTAGTTATACAGGCAACACTTTCATCCTGAAAGTGAAATTCCGATTCCTCGCGAAACACGGGGTTTGCCTAAGATCCTCTGAATTAGGGGGCTGACCATCTTAAACTAGACCCAGAGGCGCCCACGTGGCGTCTCTGCGACGCTTTTACACGACACATCCGGATAGAACCCTTGTTTCAGTCGGATTAACCCAAGTTGCAGGACTCCCACGACAGATCGTGTTACAAATTAGCCATGGTGTCTGCGTTCATACAAACACACTAAGGCAAAAAAATAAAAAGAAGCAGCTAAGGGTTGAAAGCAACTTCTGACTTTCTAGGCAGAGGTACGTTCGCTTTAGCTGGCGGAATCTTCCAATTCTTTAGGGTAGAGTATTTGCGGTCACAAAGAGCCGCAGAAACGGAGTTCTGGCATGCAGGAAACCCGTAAGCCTTTTGGAATGAGGAAGAATTTTCGGAATAAGATGTGAAGTGGATAAAACTTGGTCTTTTTAAAGTGAATGCAAAGTTCTGAGGCGTAGGACCAAAAACGTTAAGTGGAAACCAGTTTGCAACCAGAAGTTTCAGAAGAGCGGAGGTTCGGATTCGTTCGAAGGCATTCAGAGAGAAGGGGTGGATAATCGGCGAAATCTAGGACCCAGCGCTTGACTCGGCCAGGGCGGAGAGGAGTATGAGTTCACCACTACATTCCTTTAATGAATTGTGCGGAGGAAGTTGAGGCACCAGCCCGTGCCTTGTATTGTGAAGGAGCGCCTTGACCTGTACGAAGTTGGGGAACTTAGATTAGCTGTGATTTATTGCACCTGTTTCTGCAATGGTACAAAGTCCTACAGAATAATTTATTAGCAAGAGGCAGTTTGTTCCCTATGCAGAACCTAAGATCCAAGAGAGGAAAACTCTTAAACTATGTAGCACTGAAGCATTTAATACTAAATAATAGCCTGTTATATTTTCATTTACTATATTTATTAGAAATGTAAATGACAAAGTACAGTCAGTGACAATGATATAAATTGCTGCTAATCAGCACTAGTTTTCCCAATCTGGTTCTGCCCAGTTAATTTTAGAATACAATACTCTCCAGTCATTACCTTCAACACTTTGTTATATTTGATGGCAAATGAGATGCCACACAGTTGGACAGCATCTCATTGGAAAGGGCTGTTCTAATAATCCTGATATCACCAGAACTCCTTCAGATAATCATTAAAACTCATTAAAACTCAGTTCAGCCAATCAAAAGTAAACTTAAATGAGCATTATTTAAAACACCAGGAATCAATCCACTCATTCCTTCATAACCAAGAAAGTCCCGGTCCTCCATTTTTTGTGATATTTCCATTCGGTGTAGCCTTTGGTCCTGCCCAACTAATTAAGCATCAAGTCTTCAATGGGAACCTAAGTGAGGAACTAAAATGACATTCCTTAGCCACATTTACCAGATGTTTTTTATTTATAGGCACAGGATCAGACATGATCCAGACATGAATAAACCAAGAATGAAGAGAGTAATATTAAGTGTGCAGATGATGGAAACTTCCAGTCATATATATTCCAGTCATCTATCTTATCTTGCTTAACAGCCTTGCACATCTACTTGGAATGTACATTGCAGCATTTTGCAGGAAGATCTTGGGATTAATTTGTGGAACGTGTAGCCTCCTGTTGTTCTTAAATGCAATTCCCAGAGCCTCAGCACAAGTGAAGGAGAGGAATGTTGATAATGGTGTTTGGTTAGGTGGGTTATAGGTCATCTTATCAAGATGTCTTAATGGGATGATACAAATGGTTATCCTTTATTATCTCCTACAAGGAACATCCTTTCAGATATGAGTTAAAACAAGTGAAATCATGAAAGCAATTGTGGAACATCCCACAATCTAGTCATTGGCATCTTAATATGGCCAGTATAGAAACTGCAGAAAATGCCCTATTTTTAAGTGAAGGCCCAGTAATCAAGTACCATGGTTTAAGCTGAAAATTACTGGACCTCAACAGAATGGAAGGCTGCTAGTTGGCACGTACTTTGCCAACCCCCTCCCCCTCCCATTAAACTTTGAATGGAGAAGTCTGCATTTGAGTTAATCTTTTAAATCAGTGCTGAATGATCTGAGTTTATATCGACCCAAAGTTATACAGCCTTCAGAATTACTTTTGAATGAAATATATTGAGTAGAACAAGGTAATCCAGAAGCAAAATTTAAAGCCCAATTCTAGTTTGATATTTTGATGATTACACCAACACTCAGTAAGAGGGAACCATAATTCCAGCCCATAATTGACCAAGCTTTAATCAGTTGGTTTTGGATGAAGGAATATTTGAAACAAATAAGTCTTTTTCACAGGCCCAGTCCTCATTCTGTTTTGATAAGCCAGAAAAATAATATTTATTGAAACAGAGGAAGAACTTTTGATAGTTTGAACTCTGTGCTTATATTATATCAAGAATATTTATCTCCAGATTCTACCTGCAGTCCTTCATGATATGTGAATTTCATTTCCCATAATTTGCAGGGTCTTCTAAAAATTGGTCCACTCTGGTTAGTTTATTGCCCTTTCAGCTATTCTTTCTGTGGGTAATCTATTCATTAAAAGCATTTTCCATTATCCCAGATGTCCAAAGGATCTAACAATTTCTTTTCAAAATTTTCTAAGCCTACCAATTGGACCAAAAATGTGTGCAGTTTTGTTTAGATTGAGTATGGGGTGTATCTATGAACACACCCTGCATTAAGATTTGAATGTTCATTGGATCATGCTGACTAAAAACAGGGGAAATGAATCAAGTATGGTCATTGACACATATTAACCCATTGTGTGAATATTTATCCTTATGGTTTGTGCTATGTGTTAAGGTTTATCTGTTGCATGTATATAGTCCTCATGCTGCTTATGCAAAGAATGGTGACACGGTCCCTCTACATGCTGAATTTGAATTATACAATTCATGCTTATTAATTCATTTAATACATATTTTATTAAAAGTTTTTGTTCTTAATATAAAACACAAAAATAAATAAAGGTCTGGAAAAAAGGGAAATAAAATAAAATAGCAGAGACAGAGTGAGGGAAGAGGGTAAAAGAAATTAAATAAAGAAATAAAAACACTTTTTAAAGTGAAGTTAGTACAAAATTACATTATAGTATCAACTTTTTGTCATATCAATAGTAACTACTAGCCATTTCTATAGCAGTAACCCACATAATTGTTAAAACCCAAAGTCAAAATTTCATTTCTCCCCCTTTCAAACACTAAGTCTAGGAGCAGTTTCCAAGCAACCACAAAACTATTTACATTCTTGTCTCTCATTAGTGTAGTCAATTTCACCATCTCCAGACAGTTCCATCATCTTCTCAATCCATTCCACCACTGTGGGAGTTAATACTTCTTTCCATTTCTGACCATAAAGGATTCTTGCAACCTTCAACATATATAGCAACAAAGTTCCATTTCTCCCTGTTGGTGGATTTATAGTGTTCACAGATATTATTTCAAGGATAAGAGAAATACAACATACAAACAAAAAAACAGCAAGAGCAAAGAATAACATGGTGAATCCATTTTCAAATCAAAAGAACTTAGAATTAGTGGTCATACATGTCACTGTTTTATTAATCTACAGTTGAAAGAAAGGTTTACTCTGGATAAAAAAATAATGTGATTTTGAAGCGGATAAAAAATGAATTTGAAATGATGCTCCATAGTAATGATGAACATCTTATAGCTATGTTTTTTTAAATGTTGTTATAGATATATCTGGAAAGTGAATATGTATGATCAATGGACAAGAAATTTTGCTTACAATATGTTAGAGCAATGGAAAAATGTGTGGATTAAAGGACTGAAATTCACATTGAATTATGTAACCTTAAAGAGAATTTTTATAAAATGATGTCCCTTTGTTATTTAATGCCAGATAAATTATCAAAATGTATAAGGGTGTTCTGAATGTTTATTGGAAATACAGGTGTAAGGAGTTCATGCTTATTCATTTCTGAATAATGGCCTATTGGTTTGGTTTTACTTTATTCACAGGTAAATTCTATTTAATTCAGCAGGCTTTTTAAACAATGGAGTGATTATTGGAGCTATGTTTGCATGTATTCCAATGCCTATGCAAATAGGAGTCAAAACACAACTTTTAGATTCTTAGAAAAGGATTAAAAACAAAATGATTGTTTAAAATAGCTTTGATAATTAGAAATCAGCCATATTAGATTCTATTGATGTATGTTCTATTATGCTGGCTGTTTTAACTTTCTTTGGGGAAAAAGAGCTGTGGTGGCGCAGTAGTTAGAATGCAGTACTACAAGATACTTCTGCTGGCTACCTGCAATATGGAAGTTCTAGTCTCACTTGCTCGAGGTTGACTCAGCCTTACATCCTTCCGAGGTGGGTAAAATGAGGACCCAGATTGTTGGGAGCAATATGTTGACTCTGTAAACTGCTGAGAGAGGGTTGTAAAGTGCTGTGAATTAGTATATAAATCTGCTATTGCTAAATGATCAGGCATGTTAGTTTTTGAGACATTCCTTGCGATGCATTTTGCAAAAGACATCTCCATCCAGATGCAATGGATGATACCTGTAGGTTGCGAAGATCACAGTAAATGGAGTAAATGGATGCTATATCTGATGAACTACTACTTACTTCTCCTACTTGCAGCAGTTCCACAATGAATGAAGTAAATAGTACGAGAGAGTCCTTAGTACTCTCTGAGCTGGGTTGTTTTCTTGC